GATTTAGGAAATTTTTTTTATTAATTTATAAAAAAAATTTTTTTAGCACCAAATTATATATTAATTATTATCTTTAGCAGTGGCATAGCCAGGATTATGAAAAGAAGGTTTAATTTAAATTAAAYTAAATTCTTACAGTTATCATATATAAATAATATATTTACTATAGAGGAATTTAATTTGAGGAAGGGGAAGGTTGAACAATCAAAATCAATGTGGCTTCCACACTGCATCGCATAATTATTTAACAAACCATAATTAACTTTTTTAAATAAATTCAAAATATTAAACTGCTTGATAAATTATAACATTTATCTATTTTATTTGTCAATACAACACACTTGCTTAACATAGAAAGCCTAATACCTTTTATATTATAACATAAATATATAATACTATYATAYAAACAATATGCATTAGTAACTATGATACAAGTTTGCAGATTTCTTAAGCAAATTAAACTGTTTAGTTTTTTTTTAAATGTTGTTCCATAAAAATCTTTTAAATTTAAATGTATATTCATAGAAAAATAAAGAATTTTGGAAAACCTTTTTTATTCAAAGATGTTACAAGTAAGAATAAATCTAACAGTAAGCCATAAGCCATAAGGTCAATAATAATTGAGATGAAACTTAAATAACAATAATTAAGTATCATTAATTATATTTAATCTTATTGGTTATATTTACTTTTTAGATTTGGGATAAGACTCCTAGAGGGAAACATACTGCCTACACAGTGGTAATAAGAAGAACACTGAATAGTTAAGCAAAGACCATAATCTTTTAAGATGTTTTAGAAGTATTTATCAAGCCAATGCCGATTACCTAAGACGTTAGTTGGTCCTCCTCTACCACCTCCCTCCTATATATTATTTGTACAACTTTTTTTTATTGTTAACTTTATTTTATTAGCATAAATCTGTTTTTGGGCTGGATAAACTATCCAACTGATATGATTAAACTATTACAATAATTTTACAATATAATATAAAGTTTTATTTTTGAAATTATTTGGTATAGTTATACCATAACTATTAATAACATAGTTAGTTTGACTTAACATAATCAAACTTCTTTAAAAATAGTTTAAATTTATTTGCTTTAAAGTAAATATTTATATGGTTAGAAATACGTCTGTTTTTTTCAATGAATTATCAGTGAATTCAATAAAAATTATGTTGAATTTATTTTTTAAAATTATATACATAACTTTTTTTAATAAAATAATACGTAGCACTTTACTTGATATTTCTACTCTACTTAGAAAATTATTTCTCGTTAATTGTTTTTCCCCTAACACATATGTCTGATTCAAAGATTTTAACATATTATAGGAAATCTTGTATTAAATTTAAAAAACTTATATTCGTATAAGAAATGTATATGATTTTTAACAAAATAAATGGCAAATTATTGGGATTTTGATAAATTTTATGAACTTTAGGCGAACTTAAAAAAAATTGAGGTTTACGCTAAACTTTTTTTTTGATCTCCACTAAGAGAAAGACTTGTATTAAATTGTCAAGTTTTTGRCAGAATAAGCATTTTTTTCAATAATAGTACTTGAAAGTAGTTTAGAGTTTAGAAAATGTAAATTTAAACATTCAGTGTAATTTTAATTTACACATTCATATTTTAAGGATTACCTCAAAAAACAAAATTAATTTTTTTGAAAACAGGTTTGTCATACAAGTCAGACAGTTTTTCTTTAATTTTGATGTGTTTTTACATTTCAGAATATTTCTGAAAAATTTTAGACAACCCCCTCACCCTTCAGAAAAATWATAGTAATAAAAATAAATTTTCCTTCTAAAAAAGTTGCTGAAGTATAAAATTGATTCAATTTTTACTGCCTCATC